TTTGGATTTAGTGAATTTGAAAACAAGAAACAGGATGTGAATTGCCAATCAAATAGGTTCTAATGTAGTTGTATTATATTATTATAAACAAGTATTAAAATAGATTTATATATCTGTTTTCACACAAAGTCATCCAAATGCCGACTAACTATTGTTTTTGGGAAAGAGACGGGAAATTGACAAATTTGACCTAATAAATTTTTCATTTTGCTCAAATGACTTCATATTTGAAAATATGTTTTTCTGATCTAAAATTTTTTTTTCTAACTTGTCAACGAAGGTGAAAGTACAAAATTGTCCCTTAATTTAATGAAAATTTGAAGTCTGGAGAGGAAAAAAAGAAGCATGCCAAACTTCGCTAAGTTCAAAGATAACTCGCAAATTTTTATGAAGTTTGCTTGGAATTAGTTCAACAGGCGAGTTTTTATTAACAAGTTTAAAGTTTAATATATTTTAATTGTTATTCTTATTAATAAACTATTATTTGGCTTGGTTTGAGTTTGAATCTCTCGAGATGAAATTTAGTTTTTTGTTTTCTCCGTCAAGACTCCAATCTTTGTACAGCATATGGGAAATTGACCCAAATGAAAACTTTGCTCAAGTAACCTATTGGATTATTTTAATTAATTTAAAATTAATTAAAATTACATTTGTACCCCTAAAGTGAAAAAACAATGGTTAGCCTCCCTCCACTATTTCCCCCTCTTTCTCTTATTTCAGTGTCTTTTTATACCCCTTCTCATTTTCTATATTTATCTTTACTCTTGTTTTTCGATTTTCTTTCTCTTCTCCTATTTTTYGATTTYGACTTTTGTCACTGTTTTGGATGAGAAAATCCCTATTTTCTATGATTCGAATTCGATATCCTAATGGCCTTAGGATTTTACTCTACTCTATGCTATACTGACAACACTTTAGTCGATGAAACCGAGGACTCTATGGTTCGTCAGAAAAAGGCATGATAGCTACTTTTTTTCTGTATAATAGGATTATTAGTTACTTATTGGATTTATTTGAGGCATTTAACATTAAAGTGATTTATATGAATCATKACTATTTCTTTCATGGAGTTTCTCCATTATTCATATATTTGCGTATTTTAAAAAATATAAAAACCATTTAAGTGTAAGCGCAATAACCGTGCCAAGTACTATTTTTAAAACTAACAAATCAATGAAATCCAGAGGTAGAAAATCATTTGATAAAACCAAAATAGGTTAGAAACCCAAGGGGTAAAGTAAACCCTGACCAAAATCCAAAYAGGTTAGAATATAATATTTATGATATTATATTCTAAATATATTATTAGAAATATAATCTAATTTTAACTATTTAATTAATTAATTGCATTATTGCATTTACATTTTATTTGAATATTGTTATATGTTTCAATTTTTTAGAAATATTATTTTCTTTCTTTAATATATTTCTATATATTTATGTTTAGTTTAGTATTTGATCCACAAAAATATATATTATACCTAATAAATGAAAAGAATTAAATTATTTCATGTTTAAATTATAACATTTTAAAGTTCTAAAATTTATATTAATTTTAAATTAAAAATTATAATAAATACAACAAAAAGAAAACCAAAATTTATTTATACTTTGTTTTCTTTTATACTTGATCTTGAAGTAGAAAAAGTTTCATCAGTTCCTGAATACCTTCTTTCAAAAGGGCTTACGCTTCATYGGTGAATGTCTCGGTGGAACATATTATTTCTTGAAACTGAGGTTTATTCGTTTTTACGTAAGTATGTAACTCAACGAGAAATTTCCTTGCTTGTCCAATTTTTAATGAATCAAGATAACCATTTGTTCCGGTATAAATAGTCATTATCTGTTCTTCTACCATGAGGGGGATTGACTGGGATGGTTTGAGCAACTCACGTAATTGTTGACCTCTTGCCAATTGATTCTAAGTAGCTTTATCGAGATATGAAGCGAATTGCGCACAACTAGCCCAACTAAAAATTAGATCCCAAAGCAAACATCTAAACGGTAGAGTCCAAGAGACTTGACTACAGCCAACTACGACAAAAGGTTATGGGGACTATGACAAGCCAGCCCATGAAAAGGACAACTGACAACGACAAAAGAGAATGGGGGATAGGAAAGTCAGCGCAATTAACACAACAATCAACAACGACCAAAAAGAGAGCTATAAAAAGTCAATCCATGAATCACAGCAGAACTTTGACAATCTTCAACTTTGAGGGTGGGGGTTATTGTTATGGATGAGAAAATCTCTATTTTCTAGAATTCAAATTCCCTTATTTAAGGAATTYAAAAGGAGAAGATATATCCTTCAGAAATGATTCTAAATGGTCTCTAAGGTTAAACTTCAGTTAATAAAACTAACGGAAATGCCGATGTGGCTTCATGAGTGAGATATTTATTCAATTTTATATCATTTTTAAAATGTGTCTTTTTTTTCGTTGCCCCCACCGTAGGGAATTCCAACCTCAAAAATTAAACTTTTTAAAGTTGTACTCTCTCCTTCCTAACAACTATAAAATCCCAGTGGTTGAAGCCCCAATTAAAGGTCTCACAAGAACTCCATAACAAAGTTTGGAATGAAACAATCTTCATTGATACTCTTTTCAAGCTTTGGGAAAATTGATTATTGTAGAATCTGGTCAGAAAACTTGCAATAATTGTGGCTCTTTTCGGGGCTCTCTCCCTTCGAACAACACTAGGTAGAGTTAAGAGTTATTCTATAGAAGTTGAGCTGGAAATATATTTGTACAATTAACCATTGTTTAGTTGAAAACTTTTGGGATTGGTCTAAAGTTGCAGGCAAATAAATTAGCCATCTAGGGTTTCTTTGAATTCGGAAGGTGATCGAATCCATCCCAACAAGGACAAGTCAAGTAATGTGGTGCTCTAAATTGGAAACATTTTGAAGAGAGGAAGAGAGATGGAAGGAGGAGGAGGGAAGAGAGAGAAAGAGAAAGGAAAAGAAAATGACACTGTGTTGAAAATAATATAAAATTGAATAAATATCTCCCTCATAAAGCCACATCAGCATTCCGTTAGTGTTATTAACGGAAGTTCAACCTCAATGACTATTTAGAACCATTTTCTAAACATCAGGGACTAAATTGTCATTTTTTGAAACTTAATGACCAAATAAAAACTTATCTTTAAACTCAGGGACTAAAAGTATATTTTACCCTTTATTTTAAACTTGTTTTGGGATACCCAACCTGTAAAATTCATAAAAACTTGGGCGAGTTTTCTTCGAACACGCCCGAGATCTAGGGCTTCCTTTAACGCTATAATGAATACAAAATGAGGGGTAGTTGGATACATTTACTTTCATGAACTTGTCAGAAAAGGTTAGAAAAAACAATTTTTGAGGAGTGGGTTATTTGAGTAAAGTAGAAACTTTGCTAGGTCATTTGGGCCAATTTTCCCGTCTTCCCTCCGCTTGCATTTGTCCAAATTACAACATCAAAAAATAATAATTTAAATGTATAACTTGAAAATTTTAGTGTACAACATATAGTTAATTGAACACATCAGATCTATAGTATAATTATTGGATTTTCTTACTAAATCTGCGGACCAAGTGAACACAGTTCATTAAAATATATTAGAATCAGTTTCTTTTTAGTTTATACCAATCTCGACAATAAGTTTCTTTAGATTATATCAATCTCATCAATAAGTTTTTTTTTTAGGTTCATCCATCTTCCAACGATCAGTTTGAACACTACTTGATGCACGAAACCTTACTGGATGTGCAATGAACTCTTTGGATAGGCGAACTCCTATTACACAAATACTAACATCGGTTCAACTCAAAAGATGAGTTGGATATGGATTACTTTAGGTAAAACCGAAGTTTTCTACCGTCGCTAAAACCTTTAGCGACGTGTTTAGACTTTTCTCAACGTGGTTTCTGCCGTGACAATTTATTAAATTCATTAAATCATAGCCTAACACCTTATAAATATGAATGTACATGGTTATCATCTAAGAAGAACAAACCCTTCATTTTGGGTAACATGTCCGATATGTCGGACTCTCCAACACGTATCAGACACTTTTTAGCTGAGTCACACACACTAGTTGCATAAAGTGAATATGGATTCGACACTTGTTAGGCATCGAATCCTTGTTAAGCATAAGAAATAAACCTAAGTAGTAATATAGGACAAAATAATAAACTTTAAGAGTAAAATACGTCAAGCTCATTTTTTAAAACATAAAAATACATAAGCTACCTCGAATTTCCCTCCTAAAAAAATTGTATATTTTAATAAATGTATCCTTGTCGTGTCTATATCCTAGATTTTTAGAAAATATCGTGTCCCCATATCCGTGTTATATTCATGGATGCGGCATCCGTATCCATGCTTCTTAGGTTATTGTATATAAATCAAATCTATATGGATGAGGTGAGAAAAATGATATTGAGTGAACTTTGTGGTCCAGATTCACACACAAATTGCAGCATTGGTTTTAACAGAAAAGAAAGAAGAATGAAAATAAAAAAGTTTGGATATGGAAAAGGAAACATATGGAATGGAGAGGGTAGAGAGAAGGTTGGGAGCAGCATATTATTGTTGTATGGAAGTAGAAGCTAAATATAGAGATGAAAGCTTCAGAAACCTACCCCTCACCAAAAACAGAAACACTGCTTCTTCCCAATTTCATCTTCTCCAATGGATCCCCCTCCTTATAACTTCCTAACAAAACGCTTCCCCATGGTTTGTTCTTCGAGAATTTTCATTTTGCATTTAAGTTTTTGACACTTTCCCCTCAAATTTCCATCTCTGCAACACCAAATTTTTTCTCCTCTCTCTTTCTCTTGTTCTTTCTCTCATGGCAGATCATACACGTTCACACGTAACAACGGATTTGTATAAGATCCTTTCAATCCCAATCAAAGATATCTGCAAGGGATTCAAGAAATGGAATCCTTCTGAGAAGAGCCCTAGAATTAAAACTATTGAAGGAGGAGGAGACAGAGACTTTACGCCTTCCGTCAGAGAACCTGACAAGGTGCGTAAACACAGATATGCAAAATTTCTGCATAGAAACCTAATTTTAGGTATTTCTTCCATTAATCCACCTCAATTCACGCACAGATTATGCAATTATATCCAGATCAGGAATGAATCATGTATTAGATTAGAAATCATGCTCCATCATAAATTTTGCAAATCACAATCGATCAAAAACAGAAAAGTAAAACATGTATACAATCTGAGACTCACCTTTACCTCGGATGATGAACTTTTCTTCTGAAATCTTTGAATCGTCATTGTCTACGACAGTCGCGTCGCGGTGGTGAGCGGCACATAATCAGCGCTCCGACCACGCCGTTAGGTTCCAGCAACCATAAGGGCGTGGACGAGAGCTTCTTCGCGAACATGACGAATACATTCTCCAGAAACCAGAGTCGGAGAAGTAAGACGCCGACGCCAAGTCCGCGGTCGTATTCGAGAAACGCGAGCCGGCGACGGAGCAAAACGCCGACCTCATTATCGACAAATCAAAGCCGAAGGAGCAACTCAGACACCGAATTCCTAAGACGACCGCTATCGAGAAATTCGAGCAGAAAAGTAGAGGCAGCAGAATCAAACGAAACGCCGATCTCGTTGTCGAGAGAAACGAGCAGAAGGCATTGTTGGGAGACCAACTCCTCCGTGGATCATGCTCGATCGTTGTCGAGAAATGCGAGCAGGAGAAGCCCTAATGCTACTCCGATCATATATTCACAGTCGACGGCACTGAAGAAGCTGCCGCCAGTAGAGAAGAAACTGGAATGTACCTTGGAAGAGTTGTTGGAAGGATGCGTGAAGAAGATTATGATCGCGAGAGCCGCCATTGTTAACGGGTTAGTTTCTCAATTCCTCTTTTTTCTCTTTTTAACAAATTCCTCGCTTTTATATATACTAGTAACTTAACACGCGTTGTAACTTAATTTAAATCTAAGTCAATATTTCCTGTATTTGAGACTATTTTCTTGAAGGATATATTTGTCTCTTATTATTCTTTAAACTAATGRTTAGATAATACTACTTTGCCATTCAAATTAAAAAAAAAAAAAAACACTTAGTCACTTATGCTCTTCAAGGGAAATAAAATGAGAAATAAAAACAAACTGAACGGTTATATAAAAGTCTAATTGTGGGTAGAAAAACAGATGAGGTTTTTTTTTCCTTTTTTTTTTTTAAGAAAGAGATGGGAGAATTTTTGATATAGTTGTAGAGAATGAGAGGGAGATTGCAAGTCTATTAGAATTCGAAAATTTTTTAATTTTTATCGTCAATAATTATAATTTAAAATAACGTCATGAATTTAAAAATTAATTTTTTGCAAAGGATTAAAAATAAACTGACAAAACTTTCCTATATTCAAACTTCTCACATTTTTTGCATTACAATTTTATGAAATAATTAATTTAAATATATTTTTATACTTTTATTATTCTACCACTAAAACGCTATAATTTTTTAAATTTCATTATTAATTATAATTAAAAATAAAATCATAAATTTTAGAATTAATTTTAATAATAAAATGCCAACAATTTTATATTCACATTTCTCACTTTTTGTCATTTAAATTTTATGAAAAAATTAGTTTCAATATATTTTTAAAAAGTTATAGTATTTTTAAATAGTTCGATGATATTTAATCTATAATTAAAGATAAAATCATAAATTTTAGAATTAAATTTAGGAATAAATGGGAAAAAAAATTATACTTAGACTTTTCACATTATTTCCATTATTAATTTTAAATTATTAGAATTAAATTTAGGAATAAAATAAAATGTGTATTTTAACTTTTATTTTAAAATTTGTTTAATTACTAAAAGTGAAAAAAAAATTGTCTAAAAAAAGTGAAAAGAAAAATTAAAAATCATAAATTTCACAAGTCAATGAATAAAGAACATAGAGATGTTTATTTTGAATCTTAGATTATGAATGCATCTAATTATTAGTTTTAATATTTTTAATATTTTTATTTCTTTAAACATTGTTTACTCACTATAGTTTTCAAATTCTATTTTTAATTATAGTTAGAGATAAAGTCATAAACTTTTAAAATTTATAACTTTATTAAAAAGTGAAAAATGAAAAATCACAGCTTTTAAAAGTCAATGTTTTAAATAAAGAATATAGAGTGATTTATTTGGTAATGACAAATTTATGAATGTATCTAATTATTAGTTTTAATATATTTTTATAATAATGAATTACATTTATATACCTTTCACCAAGGTTCATGACTGTTAAGCAATACTATATGAAAAATTGGAATGTGATTAACTGCACTAATTAAGAAACTTTAAAAATAATAAATCGTGATAGAGAAACCTAAAAATAATAAGAAAAAAAAAAAGAAGAAGGAAAAAACTAACCTCAAATTGTTAAATTCTATTTTTAATAGTTAGAGATAAAAGTCATAAAATTTTAAAATTTATAACTTTATTAAAAAGTGAAAAATGAAAAATCACAAATTTTAAAAGTTAATGTTTTAAACAAATTTATGAATGTATCTCATTATTAGTTTTAATATATTTATTTTTTTAACATTTAACTATTAAAACACTGTGACTTTTAAATTTTAAGTATTAATTATAATTATAGATAAAATTATAGTTTTTAAATTAATTTTTAGGAATAAATTGATAAAATTTATATTCAAATTTTTTATATTATTTTTCACCGTTATTTCATAAACTTACTTAAATTATTACTTTGAATGTGTATTTGAACTTTGTTTAAACATTAATTTAATTGTTATAAGTGAAAAATGAAAAATCATAAATTTTAAAAATGAATATTTTGAATGAAGAATAGAAAGGTTTATTTGGTTGAACAAAACTTTTTTTTATTAAAAAAACATATTATTAATATTCTCTATAAAAAAATCTTTAATAAACAAAATTTTAAATATATAAATATGATGAATGATATTAGAATAATGAATTACATATATATAGCTTTCACCAAAAGTTCATGACTGTTAAGCAATACTAATATGAAAAATTGGAATGTGATTAATTGCACTAATTAAGAAATTTTAAAAATAATAAATCGTGATAGAGAAACGTAAAAATAATAACAAACCAAAAAAAAAAAAGTAGAAGAAGAAGAAAAAAACTAACCTCAAATTGTTAATTCTATTTTTAATTATAGTTAGAGATAAAGTGATAAAATTTTAAAATTTATAACTTTATTACAAAGTGAAAAATGAAATATCACATATTTTAAAAGTCAATGTTTTAAATAAACAATATAGAGAGGTTTATTTGGTAATTACAAATTTATGAATGTATCTCATTATTAGTTTTAATATATTTTTATATATTTATTTTTTTTACATTGTTTAATTATTAAAACACTATGACTTTTAAAATTTAACTATTAATTATAATTATAGATAAAATTATAGTTTTTAAATTAATTTTTAGGAATAAATTGATAAAATGTATATTCAAATTTTTTATATTATTTTCACTGTTTCAATGTGTATTTGTACTTTGTTTAAAAATTTATTTAATTGTTATAAGTGAGAAATGAAAACTCATAAAATTTGAACAAAACTTCTTTTTTATTAAAAAAAACATATTATTAATATTCTCTATAAAAAAAACTTTAATAGACAAAATTTTAAATATATAAATATGATGAATGATATTAGAATAATGAATTACATATATATACCTTACACCAAGGTTCATCATTGTTAAGCAATACTAATATGAAAAATTGGAATGTGATTAAGTGCACTAATTAAGAAATTTTAAAAATAATAAATCGTGATAGAGAAACGTAAAAATAATAACAAAAAAAAAAGTAGAAGAAGAAGGAAAAAACTAACCTCAAATTATTGTTGAAATTGGAAAAAAAAGGATGAGTTGAAAATAGATGGGAGAGAGTCATTTTATAGTTGGAAAAAAGGATGTGTTGCAAAATTTTTGAGATTCTAAGTATTCAATAATTAAACACCATTAAATAATCATGATAAAAGTTTTCATATTTTAACATTTTAAATGCAAAATAAATGGAGGTGAAATAGAATTCTAAAAGACAAATAAATTAAATATATTTAATTTTCAATAATAGCATCAACAAAAGTATTTAAAAAAAAGCCAAAATAAAACTAATAAATTTGATTACCAGAAACACCAAATTTCCTAAAGGAAAAAAAAGCACCACCAATTAATGAAGGGTAGGTATGATATTTAATAAAATATGAAGGATAATTTTGTCCAGAAAAAATTTCTTCCACATCCGCACTTTTTAATATATTATAGATATGGTTTAGGTCAACTTTTGTTTTTTCTTTATTTGGTTTGACTATGCTTCAATTGGGAAAAAATAATAATAATAAAAAAGAAATAATACACCCTCCATCCCAGTTTGAGAATAAGTTTCTAGCAACTTAAAAAATTGGACCAATCATTTCTAAACTGTAATCCCCAAAGCCTACCTCCAAACTATAGAACTTTTGCAATTATACTTTTTGGAATTGTTGCAACTAACATTAACCAATAAGAAAGTTGTAACAATATGATTTAATTACAATAATTTTGTACCATACGAATTGCTCAAAGTTTGAGACAACCCGATAATTCGGGATAGTCTTAATAGAGTGTAAACAAACATGTGTTTAGATGTCATCAAATAATGGTGGGTATTACTTTGATTTAATTGTTTTAAATACCATTAGAATCTTGTTTTAAAATAATAATAAGTTAAAAACTTGCTTATTTCATTTTTTGTTTTTGTTTTTGTTTTTTTTTGTTTTTCAATGTCTCTTTTATTAAAGAAAAAAAAAAAGAAAGAAAAGAGAACCAATATCTCTTAATTTTTCCTATAAAATAAAATC